TTGCTCTCCATTGCCATGATTTATGCCATCCATCGAGTCATAAGTCGGTTCCGGCACACTCCTAAACCTTCCCTTACACTATACCTGGCTGTGGTTCTGGAGACCCTGTTACTAGGCTACGAAACCCTAGCAGATACATCTCTGAAGCTCATGCACTGCGTTCCTGTAGGGCTGGAGTGGCGTCTGTTCATAGATGGAAACATCCCCTGTTGGCAGTGGTGGCAGTACATGCAAATTGTCTTCATCTCGGTATTTATCATTCCTCTTGTGCTCGTCCTCTTCTGGGGATCACTGATGCTTTCCAAAGACAAATTGTCCGCCAAGGAGTTCTTGACTTCCTGTGCATTCCCTTTGCCTTTTCTTTTCATCTGGCTCTATCGCTACGTTTTCAAGAAACCAAGTTTGCCCGAGTTTAAACTGTTTTGGGGGAATACCCACGATGCCGAAGTAATTAAGAAAGTTCTCCATGATCCATTCCGTCTCTTTAGTTCAGAAAGACTGATTTGCTTTGCTTTAAATGCTGCATTGAAAAAAAAGGAAGATATACGTGAACCAATATTCTGATAACTTTTTATGAATGTTTACATTTGAAAACAAAATATTTTGGGGAGGCCTTTCTAATTGTTGTTGCAACTTGTTTTTACCCTTTAAATTTCATTGATAGAAGTCGATTAACCACATTTTCGCGGCTCGAGTATCCTTAACGAAAAACCTGCAGTTTTGAAAAATGCTACAGCCGCCGAATGGTTGACAATCGTCGTTAACTGAAAAAGGGAAGCTGCTTCCAAACTGTTCTTAGCTCTTTCTCGGTTCAAAAACATTCAATTTGCAATTGGCAGTGTTTTCAGTACTAACACATTCTAGCGGCTTCCGGCTAGACGAACACGCGGTGAAACTTTGTTGATGATTATTCTTAAAATGGAGGTTCTATTTTAATTCTTACTTAAGCCTGTATAATGGCTGAGTTTCTACATAGGGTTTGGAAAAGCTCAATATGTTTTGAGAAATACTTAACACCCAGATCAGAGATGTTTGCCTCGCAATCCAAATTAAAAATAACTCTCACTTTCGATTCCGTTCCCTGTTTTCTTTCCAAAAACGCCTCTACTGACCATCGTTCAGTCAATTAGCATGGAAGATGTCGCTCAAACAGTTTTTCTTGTTTGCTTTGTTGTTTTTTTTTTTTTGTGAGAAAGAAATCTGTTTTTAGCTCATTTCAACGGGAAATTTCCTGTTCTAGACCGCTCACTGTTTTTTTACCTTATTTTATTAAAAAACGCTTCTATTGACCAAAGGTCAGTGAATTAGCATGGGAGATGTAGCTTAAATAATTTTTGTTTCTTTTTTTAAAAAGAAAAAACCCTATTTACAGCTTAATTCAAAGGGAAATTCCCTATTGCAGACTTGAACAAAGCTTAACACGTCGTGCCTTGATTGCACATTCCACTTTATTTTCGTCAGTTTCCTCTGGCTGTAATTCGTTTGAGAGAAATAGACTTCATCAGGTGTTACTAAACTGCGGATCAGCAGACCGCGGAACCTCCGGAAACTCTGTGAAAATGCAAATATGTTCTCGTTGCGCATTGGGTGAAATGTATTTGCATGGAAATGAACATTCGCGCTCTCACTCTTTAAAATGTCTCGGGTCTAGTTTTGAATAAGGATAAATTGACCTCACCCTCACTCGAGTAGTTGTTCTTTCGCATCGTGTGACTTGATTATTTGGGCTGATTTAGGGAAACGTAGCTCGGTTTCAGTTCAGCTACTTAGCCCTCTACATGATCTTTTCCAAGATATGTCTGTGAGTAAAGCCAAACTAATCCATTGGAAGCAAAACGCTGAGAATTCGTGAGTCCGGACGACCCGATCACACCACGGGCGAAATTTTACAGGCAACCAGGCAACCGAAGTCACGCGTAATTGTGTTCATCATATCTAAACACCCAAACGCCTACGGTACTAAACATGAGTAAGAAAATACCTGTTAGAGAACGAATACTTATAAAATAAACTCACAATAAAGAAAAATATTTACCTTCACGGTGCATAGCTTTACAGGCAAAAAACGACGACGCTGCCTCTTAAAAAGTGAACATATAAAATTGATCCACAGGACTAAATTTATACGCAAAACCTGACAAATTACTCGACATAATTACGTAACATCACGCAACGGTACAAAAATCAACCACAATTACACGATACAACTCACGAAAAGTAAAAATACTTACAGGTAATAAACATGTAAACGAAATACATACAGAAAACTATCTGACAATAAGTTTCGCGATACTAATGCATCACAGTCGATATCTTCCTTTACGCTCGTGTTCCGCGTTCCAGCGTCATGTACAATGAAATGGAATGAAAGGTCGCCAATTCCAGCTCGAAGATGAGGCGTTACTCGGATATCAGGGTACTCAAACTGTTAGAGCTTTCAAATCATGGTTCTAACATTACATTCCGGCCTTGTACGGTGAATGTTGCCACAGTTAAAATTGGCCGTCAAGGGCAATTAAAACATATTTTTCTTTTAAAGAAATCTTCTCTATAGCCGGAAACGAACTTTCAAACAGTGTTAAGGCCTTTTTAGTTTTACATATTATTTCATTACTGTTCTTATACAAAAAATATAGGGTTCCGCAGGTTCCGCGATTTGTTGATCCGAAGTTTAGTAACACCGACTTCAGCGAGACGCAACCATGAACCACGCTGACGAAGGAAAACCTATAGTGCGGCTCATTTCAAAGACAAATTCCCGAATACAAGAAAAAGAAAGTGCTTACGTTTGAACGAAACATTCTCATTGTAGCGTGATGTAAAAATAACTAGGGCATAGTCGATAACAACCTATATTTCTAATACACAGTTG